ATACAGTTGCTGTCACAGCGTGAGGAAAGCACTGCCGATAACTGGCAATTGTCAGAGAAGTGATTGGCACTGATCATCAGTGTTACGGGAGTGACTTTGGGTGAGGGGCTCATGGAACCCTGCTCACTTTAGAGAGGTGGGAAGACCCCTGTCTCAGCTCCCCATATTCCTCTTATGTGAAGTCACCCTGTTAGGGGTGCAGGGTGATCCGTCTTGATATTGTGTAGACATGTATAGGTGGGGGTTATTCATTGTTTAATGCCATGTGGTTGTATCCCATTGTTCTATTGTGTGTCTTGCTTGGGAGCAAACTATTATGGGATGTATGTGTTTGTGTATGGGCTTGGTGGGGGGTGTTTCCAGCAGCCCTCCCTCCTGATGGGACTGCCTGCTGATGTGTTTCTTGTTACTGGGTGTGTATTGCCCCGCCCTGTGTATATATCTTGTCTCTGTGTTAAAATTAATTGGTCTATTTCTCCTAGATTGTAAGCTCGAAACAGCAAGGCCCTCAATCCCCTCATGTTTTGCATTGTATTGGTACTGTTCTGTCACATGTTCTGTCCCCCTTTGTAATGTACAGCGCTGAGCAAACTATTGGTGCTTTATAAATACTGTATAATAATAAAATAATATTTCCTGATTTATTTCAAGACTGGTCTCTAGTCTTGTATGGCCAGCGGTGGGGTCCATGGACGGTGTTTGGACAGGGAAGCGGGAGTCTAACGGAAATACCCTAGTACAGTCGGGGTCCGGTTCTGTTACAATCAGGGCACTCCGTGCCACCCATCAGTGCTAACCACCTGTGCCCATCAGTGCAGCCTCATCTACACACATCAATGAAGGTGAAAAATGACCTGTTTGCAAAATTTTATAATAGAAACAAAAAAAAAACCTTTTTTCCACATTTTTTGCTCATTTTTGTTTATAACGCAAAAAATAAAACACCCAGCGGCGATTAAATACCACCAAAAGAAAGCTATATTTGTGCGAAATAAATGATAAAAATGTCATATGGGTTCAGTGTTGCATGACCGCACAATTGTCATTCAAAATGCGACAGTGCTGAAAATTGGCCTTGGCAGGAAGAGGGTATAAGTGCCGGTAGGCAAGTGGTTAAGTGGTTCAGCTAGGGTTGCCACCCCATCCCTTTAAACCCGAACACATTAAAGTGGCGTTCCGCTCACCCTGTCAAAAAATAAGTCAGCAGCTACAAAAACTGACACATCAGGTGAAAACGCGGAGATGTGAACCTGTCCCATAGGAAATCATGTTAAATGGACTGTACTGTTTCTGCAAAACTCTACAGAACACCTAGGGTCAGTGAGTTGAATTGCCCCCTCAACCAGCCACAGAACCTGTGTAATTAATGTGTTCTAGTTTAAAGGGATGAGGTGACAACCCTGGATACAGCCCAAAACACACTGACAGAGCAGCCACCGTAGCTCAATCTGCACAGGTTTGCAGACACATCCCCTGGAGTTCGGATCCTACACATGCTCCTCTACATAGCATGCGATCAATACGAATCTGCCTTGTGTGTCCCCCCTCCTCCCATCCCAGTCAGTGTTTACATCCTCCACACTACAAGACCACTCCAGCAAGCTCTCTGTGCTGTGCGGGTCACGTGCTGACAGAGGAACAGGAAGTGCTCCCTTCTAGGTGCCGGGCTCTGATTGGGTAGAGCTGCTGTCCCATTAGACGATGCAGAGGCGAGAGTCACGTGACAGAGTATCAGGTGTAGATATACACAGGGCCGGGGATACGGTGACAGCAGGTAAGTGTCCTCTGTGTGTACTCACCGGGCTGGTATCATGACCGAGTGCTGGACACACAGCTGGGAGGTGTATGTGTGTCCACATATCATACTGTACACACTGCCATGTCTGTGTTATTATATCTGTGTACACTGCAAGTATACCTTCAGTCTGTGTGCTCCTTATACACGGGGATCTCATTGCACAGTAGTACACCCTTGTTGTTCCCCAGACTCTATAATACACAGAGCCCAGGGATGGTGTATACACAGTGTACATGACTCTGTAGTCACACATTCTGCTTTGTAGCTTTGTGATGTTTCATGTCAGGGCTGTGGGGATTGTATCAGGACACTCGTTCTGTGGTGCGTCTCACTGACGGTCGCTGCGATACCGTACATGTGTGGTGCGATCGCTGTTTACATATGCATGCTGGACCTACCTGTGCATTTGTGTGTGAGGATGGGACAGGACGGGGGGAGTTTTCTTCTTCCTTTTTTTTTACTTAAAATATTTTAATTGCGCTCCTCCCTATAGCAGAAATACTGCTACAGGGCAGCAGGGCTGTGCAAAATCACCTGTATATACGTGATTTGCATTCCTGGATAAGGGGTGCACTTGCGCGCACGCTGCCCTACCCATGCCGCGCTTGGTGGCTAGAGATATCAATCACCGGGTCCTGGCCGGCACTCGGCGATCGTCGGTGAAAGCTGACAGGGGGGAGACCTGTGCGTAAACAACATAGGTCTCTCTGCTGTCAGCATGAACATGCTGTTTTGTATCTCTGCTGTGCAGAGAGATACAAAGCAGCATGTCTCCCTATTACAGGGGTAGGCAACCTGCGGCTCTCTAGCTCTTGTGGAACTACATTTCCCATGAGGCATTGAAACATTACAAAATTGACAGTTACAGCTATGACTTGCAGAGGCATAGTAGTCCTGCAACAGCTGGAGAGCCGCAGGTTGCCTACCCCTGCCCTAGTACAGCACACTCTTAACTCTTTGATTGCCCCCAGATGTTAACCCCTTCCTGCCCAGTGTCATTAGTACAGTGTCAGTGCTTTTTTATTAGCATTGATCACTGTATTCTTGTCAGTGGGGATGTCAGTGGCAGTTAGTTCCCACCCAGTGTCAGAATGCCCGCCGCAGTCCCGAAATAAGTCACTTCTCACCGCCATTACTAATATATAAAAAAAAATTATATTCCAGTATATGTACTGCTATTTGTAGATGCTATAACTTTCACGTAAACCTAATTTACACGTATTGGGAATTTTTTTTAGCAAAGATATGGAGCAGAATACATTTTGGCCTAAATTTATGAAGAAATATGATTTTTTAAAATTTTTGTTTTGGTTTTTTTTTTTAGCAGAAAGTCAAAAATCTATTTTTTTTTTTTTTTTTTTTTTTTCAAAATTGTCGGTCTCTTTTGTTTATAGCACAAAAAAATAAAAGTGCACAGGTGATCAAATATCACTGAAAGAAAGCTCTATTTGTGGGGGGAAAAAAGGACATACATTTCATTTATGTACAGCGTTGCATGATTGCGCAGTTGTCATTTAAAATAACACAGCACCGTATTGAAAAAAAATGGCCTGGTCAGGAAGGGGGGGTAAATCTTCTGGAGGGTAAGTGGTTAAACACTTCCAGACCATGCCTTTTTTGGCAATTTCTGATCACATGTAACAATCAGTATTTTTGCTAGAAAACGACTTAGAACCCCCAAACATTATATATTATTTTGTAAAGCAAAGGCCCTAGGGAATAAATTGTGGGTTTTGCAAATTTTGAATGTAATGACACATGCAAAAACATGCAGTAGCACGTGGTAAAAATGTGCAAACCAGAACGCAGCAAAATGTTTCAAGAGCTACCTTGAAATGCATACGGCTGCCCATTGAAATCAATGCCCTGCCCTGTGCATTATGCAGACCATGCACATTTCACATACGCTAGGTGTGAATGGAGTCTAACAGTCCATATCAGTACACTTGCAACAAAAACATGATACTTTTTTCTTTTTATTTGCATTAACATTACATTTTTTAGGACAAGCTTTTGGGATCTTCTTTCTTCCCAGTCCAGGCTCAGAACTAATACAGATTTTTTTTTTGCTCAGTAATTGTCTTTCTGAAGGCTTAAAGGGTAAGTTCACCTTTTAGACAAAAATAATAAATGCACATTTTTTTGCAGATAAAAAAATGTGCATTTTATTATTTTTGTCAACAGGAGCCTGGAAAGCATTGCACCAGCAATCAGTAGATCGCAGATGCCATGCAGGTCTCCTGCAGACCTGTCAGAATATCTGCTCCAAACAGATATTCTGAGAGGAAGCATCAATGAACTACCATGGCGCGCCACAGCGCCGTGGTAGTTCATTGAATACTACAAGCCCACAGCCGTTAAGGCTGTCGGGACTTGCAGTTAATTCATTCACGGAAGTCCGTGAATAAATGATGTGGTCATGTGGGCGGAGCTCGTCACGGCCCCGCTGCTTTCAAATCTGACAGATAGTACGGGGAGACTTCTCCCCGTATTATCAGTTAGAGGGAGGGGCGGTGGCAGCTGCAGCTATGAGAACATGTTACAACAACGGGTGGAACATGTAACATGTTCTCAAAGGTGAACTTATCCTTTAACTTCAGTCTTCCTCGTTAAGTGGCTCTCACACCCGCCCGCCATGTGTTGCCATTATGTTGCATGTGCAGATGTGCTCACGGGCTCCCCTCGGCCTTCAGGTCCTGGCAGAGCTTGTCAGTGCTTCTGCACACGTACCGTGGAGAATGTTGCGGACACAAAAAGACAGGGAACGTTTCCTGCTTCCCTGTTAGTGGTCTTTGCGTGTGTGCAGCAAAACCCGCACATGTGCAGACAGTGTGTACCCCAGTGCATGCGCAGATGTGCTGTAGGGCTCTCACAGGTTCTGAGCCCTGTGCTTGTGCCTTACACCTCAGAAAAAAAAAAATGAAACTATACTGATCCATATACTTGTAAACTACAGACACTGGGAAACGTGTAGCAGCATAAAATGTGCAATGGCTTGTGTCATTGGTCAGCACAGTCATGAGGATCTTTTCTTGTCACAAAAATAAGCAGAGACTTTTATTTGTATGGACTGAAAGCAGACATGGGTGTTGGATGATTCTAAGCAGATGAAGATACACTATTTTGCCGAAAGTATTGGGCCAGCCCTCCAAATCGTTGGATTCAGGTGTTCCAATCACCTCCGTGGCCACAGGTGTATAAAATCAATCACCTAGGAATGCAGATTGCTTCTACAAACATTTGTGAAAGAATGGGTCTCTCTCAGGAGCTCAGTGAATTCAAGCGTGGTACTGTGATAGGTTGTCACCTGTGCAATAAGTCCATCCGTGAACTTTCCTTGCTACTAAATATTCCACGCTCAACTGTTAGTGGTATTATAACAAAGGAGAAGCAACTGGGAACAACAGCAACTCTGCCACGAAGTGGTACGCCACGTAAAATGATAGAGCGGGGTCAGCGCATGCTGAAGCGCACAGTGCACAGAAGTCACCGACTGTCTGCAGAATCAATAGCTAAAGACCTCCAAACTTCATGTGGCCTTCAGATTAGCACAACAACAGTGCGTAGAGAGCTTCTTGGATTGGGTTTCCATGGCCGAGCAGCTGCATCCAAGCCTTACATCACCAAGTGCAATGCAAAGCGTCAGGTGCAGTGGTGTAAAGCACGCCGCCACTGGACTCTGTGTCTGGGATTGGTGTGTCTGGGTTTGGCGTTGACAGGAGAACAGTACTTGCCTGGTGTGCCAAGTGTTAAGATTGGTGGAGGGGGCATTATGGTGTGGGGTTGTTTTTTCAGGGGTTGGGCTTCTCCCCTTTGTTCCAGTGAAGGGAACTCTTAAGGCATCAGCATACCAAGACATTTTGGACAATTTCATGCAACTTTGTGGGAACAGTTTGGGGATGGCCCCTTCCTTTTCCAACATGACTGCACACCAGTGCACAAAGCAAGGTCTATAAAGACATTGATGAGCAAGTTTGGGGTGGAGGAACTTGGCTGGCCTGCACAGAGTCCTGACCTCAACCCGATAGAACACCTTTGGGATGAATTAGAGCGGAGACTATGAGCCAGGCCTTCTTATCTGACATCAGTGCCCGACCTCACAAATGCGCTTCTGGAAGAATGGTCAAACATCCCCATAGACACACTCCTAAACCTTGTGGACAGCCTTCCCAGAAGAGTTGAAGCTGTTATAGCTGCAAAGGGTGGGCCAACTCAATATTGAAACCTACGGACTAAGACTGGGATGCCATTAAAGCTCATGTTCGTGGAAAGGCAGATGTCCCAATACTTTTGGCAATATAGTGTAAGTGCAGTGGGGGACAGGAGGAGTGGGAAGGCTGTCTGGAAGATATCTGATTTTTTTTTTTTTTTTTTTTTAGGTATAAAGGTGGAAATATCTTTCAAAGTATTAGAAAGAGAAACTTTTTTTTTTTTTCATTTTAGATAGAGCAAATGAGAGTTATAACGCCTGCCCTTTTTTTTTTTTTTTGCTATCTGTGTCCCATTGGGGAGATTTCCATTCACTTCCTGTCTCATAGCCAAAGCAGGAAGTGAAGGGAAATCCCTCCAAAGTGAGGGAATCCCTGGATGTCACCAGAACTAGTGTCCCCATTGGAAGATTTCCCTTCTATTCCTATTCTGATAACAACCCAAAATTTAGGACTTTCATTCTTTGTAATGACAGTAAACACAACAAGTAGAGAGGGAGAATGAATCTCTCTAATGGGGGCACAGATAGTAATAAAAACCTGACAGGTGTTCTAATCCCTCTCCATTCTGTCCTAAACCAAACATTATGTTTTGCCTTTAGTTACTCTAACACTTTATGTATTAGTACTACTTGGACCAAGAAAAAGGGAGCAGCCCGAAAGTTGGAATGAATGTATAAATGTTGGTGCAAATCAAATAAGGATCATGGACAGTACTCAGTTGTTCATATGTGAGGAAATATTTTGTTCAAACCACATGCAATCTGCATATATGTGAATCGGCAATAAGACTACGTTCATGCAGGCAACTAGCAAATGACAGCGGAAGGAATCTGCTTATTTCTGCAGCTGTTTCTGCCACCTCTGAGCTGCTGTGGCTGCCAAGCCCTTTACACTTTAATGACCGGTTGGCAGGGCTGCAGCAATCCATGGCTGTCCACCTGTGGTGATCGCTGCTGGACACACACAAAGTGCCACTCGATAGCTCTGTGCTTAGTATATTACTGAGAACATGCTGCTACCTGTAGTGCCCTGTACTCACACCCTGCATTATACTGCTGACCTCTGCACTCTGTAATAACTGACCTATCAACTCTGTATTACTTACTACTGATCCCTGTTTTCTGCTTTACGTTTTACTGACCTCTGGACTGTGCTGTACTATTGACCCCTGCACTCTGCATTATTCATTACTGACCCCTGCACTGTTCGATACTTCTAACTCCTACTTTCTGCATTACTTTCTACTGACCCCTGCACTCTGTATTAGTTACTACTGACCCTCTGAACTCTCTCATACTACGGACTCCTGCACTCTAAGTTATGTGCTGACTCCTACATTCAGCATTACTTACTCCTGACAGCTGCACTCTGCTTTACATAGTACACACCTCTGAACTTTGCATTATGCCTGAACCCTGTACTGTGTGTTACCTACCACTGACTTGTAAACTCTGCTATAACCACTGACACCTACACTCTGTGTTAATACTGACCCTCTAAACGCTGTCTTACTTCTGACCCCAGCACTTTGCGTTACTCCTGACTGCTGCACTCTGCTTTACATGATACATACCTCTGAACTCTGCCTTACTTGCTCCTATCCCTTTACTGTGTTACTTACTAATGACCTCTAAAGTCTGCATTTTTTTACCAATGACACCTGCGCTCTGTGTTACTACTGACCTTCTGGGCTGTCTTTCTTACTCCTGACCCCTCCAATCTGCATCATTTACTCCCCACTCCTTCACTTTGCGTTACTTCTCACCCCCTGTACTTTGCACTATATACCACTGACCTCTGAACTCAGAGTTAATTACTTCTGACCCCTACACCCTGCTTTACTTCTGATCTCTGTATTAACACACTACTGAACTCTTCACTGCTTATTGCTGACCTCCTCTCTGAACTCCTCAGAATTCCTTGCTTTTCAATGGGGCCTTGCTAAGCCTACCTCCTATTTAATCGAAAAAAAGCTGAGGGTTGTGATTTAGGCGTGCCAAAGTGTTTTAAAGGCAAATTTGTCTTTATTAAGTTTTTGACAACCGGGTATACAGAAAGGGGGAAAAAAAGGGACCAGCAATTACATACATATATGCACAATTATCAGGCTCAAACAGGAGATGAGCCAAAGAGATAACTGTATTCAGTGAATATCACTGGCCAATTTAGAAAAACCTTGAGAAGCAATGTGTATAACAGAGACATATATCTGAAAAAATTGTCCCATAAAAAGGCATAAAGAGCATCAAGATATGTCTAAGTAGAGTTCTAAGTAAAACAAAGCAAAGAAAAAAGACAAGAGAAGAGAGATAGGGAGAAGTGAGCACAGAAAGAGAGGGAAGATAGAAGAGAGAGTTTGGAGCTGGGGACAGACAAGGGGCGGAACCAAGATGGCCCCACCCTAAAGGTACCCATACTGGGCATCCCAAGCATTCAAATCAAAAGCAATTACATTGACACGATACAGATAACCATGGGTCCACCCAACTGACCGGGCGAAGTCTAAGGAGGGTGCCGAAGTGTTTTATCATACTTCAGCAAGACACTCCCTTAATGCCAGTTATTCAAACTATGTCTATTTTTCCAGAGTGACACAGTTTTATAGTCTGAAAACAAGCATATTATTGAACAGAACAAAATTACAAATTTATAAAGTCCAAACATGATATAAATTGGATGCTTGTAATTTGTCCGGGAGATTTAATGTGACCAGTTTGTCTGCTGTATATTATAACATTTGTATATTTGGTATCTATCTGCTTGTTATTTGCTTAGACATTAGTGTAGCCACATATGAATCCAGTTCCATCATAGCACCTATTATGGATATTTCATGAAATGTAGCTTGTGTAGTTAAAAAACCAGACTCACAGATGTGTATTGTGGAGTCACATACCAGACGAGGCATTTTCTGACATGATTCCAATAGAAAGGCTTTACCTTAATGGAAGTTTATCAGATCTGATTTAAAAGCCTTAAAACACACAATAAGTATATCGGACGAATGATTGTCTGTTTTTTTTTTTTTTTTGCATGCTATTCTCATATCAGAAGTAAAGAGGTTGCTAAAGTTACAAAAATTCTTGTACGACAGAAAAAAACATTTGGAAGTGATGTAATATATTGTATTTATATTGTATTTTCGGAAGAAAACTGTACTAATTTAATGCAAATCGTAAGATCTGGTATCGTACGGGAACAATTTTCGTGCTTGTCCCTTCGAATAATTTCGGATGAAAGCTGTGTACTAAAAATCAGATTATCGTACGATCACTTAGAAAGTAGTATTTTTTTGTATGATTTTCTGATCGTGTGTACTAGGCTTAAAGTGGTAGTAATTTTACCTACAGGTAGGCATATAAAAAAAGCTTACCTGTAGGCAAAATCAATATCTCCTAAACATGAACCGTTTAGAAGATATTAGCCCTTTCTGATAGCATACCCGTGCCGTTCCTTCAGAGCACTGTGCCATGGGTTGGGACTCCCAAGCATAGGAAGTGACGTCATCGCGACTCGGTCAGCCAGCCGGGCAAAGCTCGTGAACCTGGAAGGAAGACCGGGTGAAAACTGAAGCCCCGGGTAGCCATTACAGCGCTCCGCTGGAAGGCTTTGTTTCAAGGTATGTCCTTCATAATGTGCTAGTATGTAGTGCAAACTAGTACATTATGCCTTTACCTTGCAGGGGGTGTGTTTTTTTTCTTTTTTTTGATGCGGTTTACTACCAGGACACCCTGCTAATGGGGTTATTGGGATTTATGATGGCCTTCTTTGTGTCTCCAGCTGATTTGTTCTTTTTGTGGGAGGTCATACTATATGTCTCAGTTCTCTGTCTGGCCAGTAGAAATTTAAGATTTAAATATGATTTTTTTTTTGTTCCTTTGTATAGTTCCTAATGATATTATGAATAGAGGCAACTATATTTGTTAATTACACATGCAAGCCTTGGTGATCCACTTATCACTCTACAGAGTAAAATGCCTACAATGCTCATGTAAGCAAGAAACCATACAATCTTCACATAGACTTCAGACCACATAAGGTTGCTCAGGATAATAGAAAAAAAACTAGCTACTGATGGATCTACTGTATTGCTTAAAATGTAATTTGGTAGTGCAGACTGATTAATGCGAGGTGTGAATTTAATAATTACTCTGCTCTAAGCCTGTTTTACCTGTTGGCTGATTTTTGTCTAATAAATTTAAAGCGGAACTTTACCCATAACATTTGATAACAATTAAGGTTCTTATTAAAGAATATACATTCCACATTAGTAAATAGGCTACCAAAATTAGTGTGTGCTGTAAATTGCCTCCAGCTTTGCTCTTGTTTCTTCAAGCTATAGCCCGCCATTTTGATGAAGCCCAGAGCAGTCACTTCCTTATTGGACACTCTTCACCTTTCCTTGGTTTCAAAAACTATATGTCACTTTTTGTAATGTAAAATATGTACATTTCCAGCCTTGACTTGGAGAGGAAAGCTGACAGAAGCTTTACAGTGCTGAAGTTCACAGGCTGATGAGGGAGAAAGGAGAGAATACCATGGAGGT